TCTACACATCCTTAAACAAGGCTCAGACATCAATGCGTAGAGTCTTTAGACAAAACCCCTCCAGGGGTGTTTTTGGACGGGCTGGTCGCCAAAGGGGCCGTGCTGCCAGCCGTTTCTGGCCATCAGGCCCCCGCTCTACCCCAACCTTTCTACCCAGAGGTGGGATACCGCCCATACTCCTACACTCAAGGCGCAGACAGAGGTCGAGGACCACGCACCCGAGGCAGAGCTCGATTTTCCTCAGGTAAGCAACCATTTTACTCACTTCTCACTCCCAATGCATACAGCAGGTCGCATATCTCTTTTCTTCCAGGAATGGACCTCCATCTCCACGGATGCATGGATCCTACAGACAGTACAGGGCTATGTCATAGACTTCGTAGACCAACCACGACAGACGGAACTACCACGTCCTATCCACTGCTCAAGGATAGACACCTCTCTCATCGACGACGAACTTCAAACCCTATACTCGAAAGGCGCGATCGAACCCGCCTCCGACCCTCAAGGTTTCTTCAGCAACATCTTCTTGGTAAAGAAGAAAACAGGAGATCTACGACCTGTCATAAACCTACGACAACTCAACGAACACGTCACTACAACCACTTCAAGATGGAAGGCATACATCTTCTACGAGACCTGCTACAAGACAAGGATTGGTTCACGAGACTAGACCTCAAGGACGCTTACCTATCAGTACCCGTCCACCAATCCTGCAGACAATACCTTCGTTTCCACTGGCAAGGCCTTCCTTGGCAATTCACGTGCCTCCCCTTCGGCCTCAGTTCAGCCCCATGGTGTTTCACCAAACTGATGAAACCCGTGGTCGCACATCTTCGAGCGCAAGGAATTCGTTGCATCATATACCTGGACGACTTCCTGCTGTTCTGCTCAGACAGACTCCGACTGGTACGTCACACATGGTATACCACGGATCTCCTGTCATCCCTGGGCTTCATAGTGAACTTTCAGAAATCGGCTACTTCCCCATCACAAACAGTACAATTTCTGGGATTCGAGATAGATCCCATCTCCAGCACCCTACGGCTACCGTCAGCAAAAATCTCAGCCATTCGCAAGGAATTACGAAGGGCCATCCGCTGCCACACCATTCCACTCTGCGCCCTCGCACGCATTGTGGGACTTCTCTCTGCTTCCATACAAGCTATATTCCCCGGTCCCCTCCACTACAGGGCGATGCAGCGCCTCAAAGCTTCCTTCCTCAGGAAAAACCCCTCATACGATCAGCCAATCCCGATGACAGAAGAAGTCAGAGACGAACTCAGATGGTGGCTAGACAGCATGGAGGCATGGAGCGACCGAGCCATCTTCGGAAGGGCTCCCGATATGATATTCGAATCAGACGCCAGCCTCTGGGGATGGGGCGCGACGAGCGAAAATGCATCGACAGGAGGAACCTGGACATCCCAAGACCTCAACATGCATATAAACTGCCTAGAACTCCTAGCAGGGTCATTCGCCATCCGAAGCCTAGCGAAGGACAAGTCGGATTGCTGCATCCTCCTCAGGATGGACAACATCTCTGCAGTCTGCTACATCAACCGCCTAGGCGGAGCCCGTTCCCGCCTCCTGTCAGAAATCACGAAGGAGATCTTCGATTTTTGCCTACCCCGCAACATCTCCCTCACGGCAGAATATCTCCCAGGAGAGACAAACCTCACAGCAGACTGGTTCTCACGTCACTGGCGGGACACCAGCGACTGGAAACTAGATCCACAAATCTTCAACCTCATTGCGGATCACATGGACCTATTTGCGTCCCGCAACAACAGACAAATGGAACTGTACTTCAGCTGGCTCCCGGAACCGGAGAGCGCTGCAGTGGACACATTCCTACAACCATGGCCGATAACGGGAGCCTACGCCTTTCCCCCCTTCGCCATGATGGCGAGGACCATACACTACCTGAAGAATCAACAAACCTCTCTAGTGCTCATCACTCCACTATGGAGAGGACAACCTTGGTTCCCGGACCTCCTAGCTCTTTCATACAAGGATCCTCTTCTATTACCCCATCATCAGTACATTCTCACAGATCCAAGAGGACACCCTCATCAACTCATCCTGGACGAGCGTCTCCATCTGGTGGCTTGGACACTTTCAGGGGCTCCTGGCAAGTCGGCGAACTATCGCAGGCTGCTAAAGAGCTACTATGGGACTCATGGGTCCCTGCTACCTATCCGCTTGGAACTCCTGGTCCACTTGGTGTTTGGAATGGAACATCGATCCATTTACGGCCCCTATTTCAGCCATTTTGAACTTCCTATCCCACCTATTCTCATTAGGTCGGTCTTACAGATCACTCAACGTAATTCGTTCAGCTATTTCAGCAGCTCATGTCCCCATACTAGGGATTCCGGTTGGTAAGGACCCACTGGTGTGTCGACTTCTGAGGGGCATTCGATTACAACGCCCTCCAGGCCCGAAATATTCTCGATTCTGTCGACATAATCCTCCGATTCCTGAGAGACTGGCCAACTAACGACAGACTCTCCCTCCGACAACTCTCAGCAAAACTCACGGTCTTGCTTTGCCTGGTCTCCTTCCGCAGAGTGTCAGACATTCGAGCGCTGGACATAGACGCTTTTTCTACCTCCCCAGAAGGAGTAACATTCAGGATATCTTGTCGCACTAAGACGGACTCCACATCTGTATTTTATCCATTCTTCCCCACGGATCCACAACTCTGTGTCGTCTCCGCTCTACATGTAGAAACTACCCTACCACTCAGGTCTACACCCTCAGGTCAACTCTTAGTATCATACGTTAGACCACATGTTCCTATTACAACAACCACCCTAGCGAGATGGGTTCGATGGTTACTATCGCTAGCCGGCGTGGACACTACATTCGGAGCCCACTCCGTACGCGGAGCAGCAGCATCCTCAGCCTTCATGGCGGGTGCCTCCATAACGGATATCCTACACTCCGCGGATTGGTCTAGAGAATCTACGTTCCGCACCTTCTACTTCCGACCGAACTCCGGTGCGGCCATGTCTCTTATACAACAGCGTTAAAAATGCAAAATAGGAAGCCTCCTGTCATGTGATAAAATTGAAGATTATGCTAGCGTTAGTGTACTTATAATCTTAATTTTAGTAATGACAGGAGGCAAGTATTTTCCCACCCTTCCCACCCGGAGAGGAGGGGAACTACTCTATTCATACAGCTACTACTGTCTCCTTTTTTCTTCCTTCTTTTTCAGTCAACCAACATGTTGGTATATTGTATCCTCTATTACCATCAGCCTATCTATCTACTGTTAGACTATTCTCTGAATTCATAATATATACTGTTTCAATGCTATCCGATGGATCAATACCTATATCACAAACAGTTGCCAGACCGGTGCCTAACCTTCTCACATTCTCATTTCAGTTTAACTTCGTTTCATCCTGCAACTCTGCGGCATAATCATTGGACTACGGTTCTTCAGATAAAGACCACGCCTTCTATCGGACAACTTCCATCACCCGTTGGTGCCGGTTCCCACTCATGCCGAGAAGTTCATCTTTCCAGTTGGATACCACAGTTGATGTTTAATACAGACTTTATCGCTACCTTCTTCCCTGTTCCGATGTCGCTTCCGAAAGAGGAGGAGGAGCCTATTTGCTGGGATGATATACTCCCTATTTGCATTTTGATTGGTTTAAATGTTTCACTTTCTTTACTGCTATGGAGTTTAGTAAAGAGAGTTATGCAAAATACTCGCCTCCTGTCATTACTAAAATTAAGATTATAAGTACACTAACGCTAGCATAATCTTCAATTTGTGGTTAACAGCCAGAGGTGGTCTGTACCTAAAAGATGCGAACAAGGGGGCCACAGAGAGTTGGTTCAGTAAACAAACTGGGTGTGCGGACAGCTGAACAAAAAGGAATAAGTGTATTTAGAGCATCCATTCCACTACATATAGATCATGGTTTATTATTGTGTAGCATTTCTCACTTTATTTTTAGTTGTATTATTTATTTTTACATTTTCATTTAATACTATGTAGTATTATAATTTTTTTTA